AGGCTCTCACATCACCAGGCGAGGGGGAGAGGGGGGGGGTGTACTCATAGTCGTGCATGCCGTAGTCGTTAGACCATGGACCTCGCATCCCGGCAAAGCCGGGGAGGGGGGGGGGGGTTACCGGCACTATGAGAAAAGCATTTATTGAAAGCAACGCGTTGACGGCGTTGCTGGTGGGTGTGCGTTGACGGCGGAATGGGCGAGGGAAGCCCTGGAAGTTGTCGACAGTCGCTCGGGCTACTGGCTTCGCCTGTTCCCAATAGAGTGGGACGGCGACGAGACCGCCCGTGGCTGTTTCAGCAATGATCGAATCACATGGGAGGGTTTGGACAACACGCACAGGTTTGGACAATACGCACGCACATGGATGGACACTTAAGACTCGTGCGACGAACGGGGATACGCTGTTGTCATGAGACTGGGAGGGGTGATGGGGGGGGGGGGGGGGTGCTCATAGTCGTGCATGCCGTAGTCGTTTGACCATTGACCTCGCATCCCTACAAAGCCGGGACGGAGCACGCCGGGTTCTCACCGGACCAGGCTCTCACATCACCAAGCGCGAAGCGCCGTGAGGTATTTGGCGAGTCGCATGAAGGGTGAGCTGCATCCTGCTAAGGGTGTTCGGCATCTTGTGCTTACTTCCTTGCGTACGGATGACAGCTACGTATGACTTAATTTATTTTCTGGTGCTTTCACTTCCAGCGACAGTTGTAAGCACTGTGTAACTGCCTCGAGGAAGCTTGACCATTTTAACACAACGTGGTGCGATCATCCCCCGTTGCGCGGAGTGAGGTTTCTCCACCCCGCACAACATGATCTACTCGACCACCATTATGGTTACCGCCAAAAAAAAACGAGGTAAAAAAAAAAAACGGAAACCTGGTTGCCGAGTTCACGAAGTGAATTGGCTTGTTTTACAACGTCGTTGCCAAGCGACGAAAACCCAAACCCCGATGGCAAACACCGGGGGGGGGGGCTTGTTTTACAACGTCTTTGCCAAGCGACAAAAACCCAAACCCCGATGGCAAACACCGGGGGGGGGGGTTGTTTTTCAACGTCCTTTCCAAGCCACC